GGGTCATGAGCAAGTACAGGGAAGGGGCATTGCTTTCATTTAGATTAATTCTTCAGAACCTGAGAGTGAGACCAGGATTCTGTCAGATTTGTAAATATGGGGGAGGATGACAGGTGAAATGTGCTAGGGCTAAGAGGGAGCTGGTTATGGACCCTAGTGGTTCCCAGAGCAACAACATAGACAAAGGGTTGACTGTTAAGTGCCAAAAAGTATAGCTTGCCAGTTAGCAAAGTACTTTACCTACATTATTTTATCTGCTCCTCACATCAGCCCTACAGGCACTGATCTCACCATTTTATAGATGATAAAATTGAGACTGAGACAGATGAAATTACTTGGATATGATCACATAGCAAGTAAGTCTAAAAGGCAAGATTCAAACTCAAATCTTCCTGACTCCAGCCTCATGACTTTGTCCACTGTGCCACACAGCCTTTCTAGAGGAGTATCCATGGCGGTAAAGAGTGAGAGAAAGACAATCAAGAGGAGGTAGTGGGGCAGAGGGCAAAAGGTGACAGGTAGAGGTCATTTGTAAGTCCAGTGTTTGTAGCTGGGCGGGGGCGCATCTGTATATTCCAATTGCCTCTTTTTGCTCAAGTATAAAATGGGAATAGTGATAGTGCCTTCTTCCAAGGTTGTTGTGAGGATCAAATGAGGCATCTGCAAATCATTTACCACAGTGCCTGACACACAGTTGGTGATGAAGAAATGTTCATTTCCTCATTCCCTTCCTGTCTTCCTCCCTCCCTCCTTCCTTTCTTACTTCCTCCCTCCCTCCCTCCTCTTTCCTTCCTTCCTTTCTCCCTCCTTCCCATCTGTCCTTCCTTCCCCCCTCCCTCCCTCCCTTCCTTCCCACCCTTCCTTCCTTCCCACCTTCCTTCCTTCCTACCTTCCTTCTTTTAATATGAGTCTATGAAATCAGCCCAGCAAGCTCACATCTACACTGAAGGTTGGTAGAATGTAAAAATATTTAAGGAAACATCTCTGGGTCAAAAAGACTGTATGGATATGCATCTTTCTGAATGGGGTAGAAACAAGGATTCTGATGGAGTTTGGGACTTGCCTGCATTTTAAGAATAATGGGAGCACCCATTATTCTTGTTCTTAAATGTGACAGCACTTTTTAAATGTTATTGGATTTGAGCCTTTCAAGAACCTTGTGAGGTAGACAGTAATAGGTGGTCATTTTCTCCATTTCTATCAAGTATTAATAAGCAATCAGGTGCCCTGGCTTGGTAAGGCTCCCAGGTGCATAGCTGCCTATATATGGCTATGGACAAAATATGAATAGCTATTACATGTTTTGTGAATTACTGTCTGTCAGTTTAGTAGAAAAAAGAAGCTGCTCCCCAAAGAAATTCCTGCTTACTAACTTGGAAATTACATGCCCCATGAATTTTGGAAAGAAGCTAGGACCTGAATTTTCCCATTTTTCCTGACTATCTGGCTTGGCCCTGGTCATATCCTGGGGCCCCATTGACTGACCAGAAGTGGGGTCACTTTAGACAAGCTAAGAAGCCACTAAGGAGGTAGCAAATACAGGAAAAAAAGACAGTTCCATGGTCACTATTTCATTCACCTCCTTGTGCTTTATTTCCTCCTGAACATTGCCACCTGCAGGCTCCTAAAAAAAAAAGGCTAAGTTGATAACCATACAATGACTTGGATTCCACTTCATTTACTTGTATTATCTCCTTACCACGGCTAAGCTCAGAAATAGAAAAGGGTCAGAAGGAAAGGGGTGATGCTGCCATAGGGTCTATGAACACAGGCAGCTGCCAGGCAAGGGGCCAATGCTAATGAGGGACTCAGGCACCTGCACACCCTCAGCTGGGGGGCTCCCCCTTCCAATCAAAACTCACATACAGCCTGTCAGCACCTCTCCGTCTGCCTGGGGACTCAGCTCTCTGGGAACCCCACTGAATGGTTCCCACATGCTTTGGGGCCTGCCTCAGCATATTCTCATAGTTTTCAGATAGCACAAAAGCACCCCTTCAGAACCCAGCTGGAGATGGGGTGGGGAGCTGAAACCGGAACACCTCCCCAGACTTAAAGGAGTCATAGAGTGGGGGATATGTGTGTGGGGGTGGAAGACTCATAGTGAAAGGAAAACTCTGCTGATAAATGAAATGTAACTTCATTAGCCATAGCCAAGGCATTGAGAGTTGGTCTAAGATCTTAAAGAAGTAACGACAAATCATAAATCCTACACACGCTAATTGGAAGATCATGCAGTTCCATGGAAAGAGCACTGATTTTTGAATCAGAGGACCTGACTTGGAACCCTCCCCACCTCAGTTATGAGTGTGCTCTTGGGAAAGTCCCTAGGTCTTCGTTTCCTCATCTATAAAATGGGGTATTTGCACTATTTGGCCTCTAAGGGTCTTTCCAGCTTCAGATTGATGATACTATGAATTCATTTTGAAGGTCAGATCATACTCTTCCACTTTGAAACAACATACACAAGGCTTTTCCTGATTCTCCCAACTGCTGGTGCCCTCCCTGATACCCAAAACATTTCTTTGAATATATTTGGTATTTAGTTATTGACATACATATTGTCTCCCCCAAAAGAATGTAAGCTCCTTGAGGACAGGTAGCATTTGACTTCTGTCTTTTTATTACCAGCACCTAGGCCACTGCTTGGCGTACATTTGGTACTCAATGAATGCTTTCTGTTTGGTTTGATCCACCTTGGTTTGAGATACAAGGATATAAAAAGATAACACGATGGCACAGTGGAAAAAGCTCTAGACTGGAATCATGGTTTCCAATTTCATTCTGGCTTGTTCCTCACGGAATCTGCTCAGGTCATTGACCTTCTCTTGGTCCCTGTTTTCTCATCTTTAAAATAAGGATGCTGAATGAAAGATTCTCAGGCTCCCTTCCCCCTCAAGTCTCTGGTCATAAGACCAGATTTTAGAACTCAAGCAGAGTGAGTGGTAAATGGAAACAAGAATGAATAATAATAGCTAACATTTATATAGCTCTTGGTATGTGCCAGGCACTATGCTAAACCCTTAATAATTACTCAATCCTCACAACTCTGAGAAGTATTGTTTTCATCCCCATTTTACAGTTGAGGAAACTGAGGCAGAGGTTAAATGACTTGCACAAGGTTCCACAGCTAGTAAGTGTGTGAAGCTGGATTTGAACTCAGGTTTTCCTGACTCCAGGCCTAGCACTCTATCCGCTGACTTATCAAGCTGCCTTGACTAGGTAAGAGATGGGATGAGAGGTGGGGACATACATCTGATATGAAATCGATGAAACTTGGTTGAGTGGTGGGCAGACTTGTTTGTTTGTTTTGGCAACATCAACTTTCTCATTAGCCCAACCAATTTACCATTCCCTGAGAATGAGTCCATAATGATAATATTGCAGAGGGTCCTAGGAGAGCTGAGTTTGGGAAGAGATGAAATGGCCATTAGACTAGGACGGGAGGTGGGAGACCCGAATTCTCAGTACTACTCTGTCACTAATTAAATTTAATTCATTAAGATTATAGTGTGTTCAGAGCACTGGGATGGCTTTTGAGGACATACAAAATTTCAATAAGCCACAGCGCCTGCCTTCTTGGAACTTTCCACGTGATAGATAATATCTACTCACTTTTTTATGTAGCTTAAGATTTAGAACTCTAACATCATAACTTTTGAGCTTGGTAACTTTTTCAAAATCAAAATTGCATTATTTTTGGAGACAGGGCAGCAACACTGTAAAAGAGTTGGATATTAAACAGAAACGGGAACCCCAAAATTATGATCTCTGATGTGTTGTGTTAACTAATGATAGCAAATTGTTGAATTTTTTTTTGCTCCTGCAGAACACATTTGGTGGACCTTTATGGTAAGCTTAATAATAATATTAAAATCACTAAGCATTAATAAATAAGAATAAAATTATGGATAAAACAAGAAATTATTCATAAAAAACAACTAGGTGGTGGATTGAGTAGAATGCTGGATTTGGAGTCAGGAATACCTGAGCTCAAATCGATCCTCAAACACTTTCTAGCTTTTGGATCTTGATCGAGTTACCTCTGCCTCAGTTTTTCTATTCATCTATAAAATGTGGATAATAATAGCATCTACCTTTCTGAGTTATGAGGATAATAGCTTGCTTTTATATAATAATCCAAGGTTTGCAAATTGCTTTACATATTCATCCTTTTTTAGAATTAATCATTTAAAATATTAATAATTAGTAATAGCTAATTATTACCAATTATTTTAATAATGCCTAGCACACATATATACAAAAATATAGGTATGTACATACAAATATAAAGCCCTAATGCTTGAAAATTGCTTTACATGTTAATCCTTTTTGAGTATTAATCATTTTATTTATCATTAATAGTAGCTGATAACAACTATCAACTATTATTAACAACAGCTGGCATTTATATGCTGCCTTAAGGTTTGCAAAGTGCTCACATAGATTATCTCTTTGATCCTTTTGGGAAAAGAAGCCCAAGAGTCATCCAGGAAAGGCATACACCAGTGGGGTCACAGTCTGAATTGTTGGAGGCAATCCCCACATTGATGAGATCAGAGCTCCATTGGAGTCTGTAAGTTATGAATGCATGATAAGTGATGGCTGGTATCCAGTAATGTGAGAAGATAAATGATTTCCTCTTCATAATGGTCAGGCCACTTAAAAGATAGAGCATTTCTATTCTCCCCTCATTCTTCCATGTAACAAAATGCTTCAGTGGTAGGAGTGGAAAATGGAAGGATTTGGAATATCAGGAAAAGAAGATTCTAAATGTATTATTTGAGGGATGGGGCTGGCAATGGCATCAAATAAGAGATTGCCAAGCAAAGAACCCAAGAATCAATTTAGCTATAAATATAAAACAGTCTGCAAAAATCACAATGGTGGCCCACCCTAATCCCTGGGCTCAAGTTCTCTGTGTGAGTTTAAATAGCTGTACCTGGTATTATTGGGGGGGAGAGGGAGGGACTTAAAACCACCAATGAACTCCGAAGACATACTTTGAATTTCCGTGGTCTTTTGTAGAGAAGCAATGGCATTTCTATTTGGAGTTTGGTGCAGAATATCTTCTGAGACAGGATCCAGCTGCAAGAAGAGAAAGGAAAAATCTAAGAGCAGCACAATATTAGTAATGTACCACAAACCTCATGGAGAGAGAGCCAGGGGAAGCAGGAGAATCCTCAGGAAAAACTCCACTGGGAACGAGTTTGTGTTTCACTAGAATCGGTTCTAAAAATGAAGCCCCCGTTTTATCTCCCCATTTGCAGCCATGTAACTGAATTCCAAGGGGCTTCTAGATTGGCTGCAGGGCTAATCTATGGAGTCCCAGGAGCAGGTGCATGTCTGTGTATTATTCATTTTTTAAAATGTTAGTTATTCATGTCATTTCTGTAGGTTCCTCACAGACAGAATTTCATTGCATCTGTATACACAGCTGGGCACTCCAAACACAAACCATCACTGACATCCTGGTTGAACTGGGGTGTGTGTTCTGTTATCTTTATTTTCCAAGGGTCTAAACGTCTTCCTTACACATGCAGACATTTTACAGTGGAAAGCTATAAAACATGGCTGCTTGTGCTGGGCATTTGGCACACATAATCTGCACCCAGACTGATTATGCTATTCTCATGCCATCTCCATAATCTTCTATACCCTTATCCCCAACCTCCTTTCCGCCTCTGGTTCTAAAAACAGTATCCAAACCAACATTACTATTCCTGTGAAAAGTTATAATAATTTTCATAGAGCTCTAATCATCTCTTTCCTTTCTCTATCTAAAAGGTTCTTCCCCGTATAATGCTCCCCTGTATATATTATCTTTCCTTATTGGTTAATCAGATTTTTATGGGCAGGGACTGTCTTGCTTCTTTGTATTTCTATTGCACTACTGCACATAGTCAGCACTTAATAAGTGCTTCTCATTCATTAATTCATTAATTCATTCATTCATTCATTCACTAATACCAAATGAAAATGTAGGGAAAGCAACAGGACAAAACCAGAGTAAATGTGTGAGAATTGCATTTTACTTCCTCTGTATTTTTAATTATTATAACTCATCGATAATAATAGTTTATACTAGATAGTTACCCATCTTGAACTTGCCCCAGCTCATCTTTAAAAGGGGACTGAAAAGAGTTTTGTCCCAGGGAGGAATGCAACTCTTGGCTTAAAGGGCCAATTAATTGCATGAGACTCCTTTCTCAACCAATGAGCCTTCATGAGAGCAGGTCAGAATCAGTGAAGGCAGGAGAAAAGAGAGATCCTGGGTTCTTTTAGCCTCAAGCATCAAAAAAGATGGTGAGTACAACCTTTCTTCAGGGCTCTGGAGGGAGAAAGACTCTGGGAACAAGGTGTCATGTAGAACTTTATGTTCCTATCTCTAGTTTGCTACATGAAAGAATTTGGGGAATTTTCCTTTCAGTGAGATTTGGGACTTTCTCTCTTGGATGAGTTGATTTACTTCAGTCCCAAATGGAAAGACTCCTTAACTCAGTGTCGTCCGGTATATATTCTCTTATGTTTATTTTCTCTGATTTTTCTTTCGCTATCAAATTGGTTTCTTCACACAAACACACACATATATGTATGTATGCATATATGTATGTTATATATATGTATAGCACTTTGAGTAATTTATGTGCTATACAAGAGAAGAGCAGTGGGAAAGAGGTAGCACATTGGACTAAGAGTGCAGAACACTTAGGTTTCAAATCCTGCCTCTAACACTGGAGTGTATGAATATGTGCAAGACACTTAAACCTGAGTGTGAGGCAACTTCCTAAGAATGACATGAGAGCCTGGATTTGAAGGGTGTTTTTTCTACTTCCTATCCATGTGATCTTGGCCAAGTCACTACCTCTCTGGATCTGTTTCCTAACTTATAAAATGAAGATGTTGGACTAGATGACCTCAAAGGCCCTTTCAAGCTCTAAATGTATTATTCTCTTCTTTATTCTGTTAGGGATGGGTGGAGATCTGCATTTATGGATAGAGTTTCCCAGTAGAGAAATCCAAGATCCTTGAAGTATTTATATATTTGGGGTTTTAACGTTCTCCAAATGTTTTTTTCACAAGAACTCTGTTAAGTTCTTAGTATTTCAAATATTATTACCACCATTTTACAGAGGAGGAAACTGTGGCTCGGGATGACGAAGGATTTGTCCTTGATTATATAGTCAGCAAATATTGGAGCAGGAATGTGAACCTAAGTCTTCTCACTCCAAGTCCAGTACTCTTCCTGACATCTCATGCTGCCATTCAATTTAATTCAATTCAATTCAATTATTTTCATGCATTTTCCTAATTCCTTCAGATTTCTTTTTGTATTTATTTATCTCTGTACAAATTATTTCCCTGCAGTAAGTTCCTTGAGGGTAGGTATTGCTTGTTGTGTTCGTATTGCCAGCCCTAGCACAGGGTTTGGCCTATCTTGTTGAATTGAATTACATTCTGACTAGCAGAGAGATTTCATAGAATTTTAGCTGGAAGTGGCCAAAGGTCATTAAGCCATTATAGCTATTCCAACAAGCTATCATTGAGATTTGACTTAAAGATCTCCAATGAAAAGGAGCCTGCCTCTCCCAAGAAGCCTAGTCCCATCCTTGAGAGTCATGAAACTCTAAAAGTACTTCCATGAAAAAAATTTTTTGTGACTATTCATAAGTGTTGGTCACCATTAGTGGTTTAATAGACAAATAACAAATAATTCTGAAACCAAAAGCCACTTCTGATAAACCAGTAAAGAAGAAAAAAAAAGGACATCTCATGAAGGTGAACTATAGATTCCTTTCAGTTGTTTGGATGTTGTAGAGACATTGGCTCTTGTGGGTGATTGGACTTGGCGGGAATCATTAAGTAATAAATTAGAGTACTTTCAACAAACTGGAGGATTTTTGCATTCATAATAATAATAATAATGTCACAGTCAGACATAGGAGACGTAGGAAATATTAACTTCCCACCAATCTGACTTTGTTGATAATTGCCTGAGAGTTATAAGATGCATCAGATAATTTTTATACATCCTTTCCCAACCCGAAGCTCATGTCCAACTTTTATTATTTCTAAAGTCCATTCCCCGCAATGGTTTCCCTCAAATTTCCTGCCTCAGCACCAATGAGGTTCTTCTTGCACTATCTTTCACAAGAGCCAAGGAGATGTAATTATTTACCAATAAATCTCGACAAAATCATAGGACACTCTATGTAACTTATGAGCAATATTATTATAAAAACATTGTAAAAATCACAAGTCCATTGGCTTATTGAAGCCAAGTATTTGGGGGCTTCCTTGGAATCAAGCCCTCTTTTGCCGGAAAAACTCATTTCTGTTGGCTGACTCATGCCTTTGGACATTGGCCCCAAAACCAAGGAGTGTCCCAGGAGAGGATCTGGCCCCAAATCCCGCAGTGCAGAGAGAAATCACTCGACACCTGACAGGCACAACACCAAGCCCATCAGCAGCACCCCCACTTTACACAGTTCTTGGCATGCTCTGGGCCTGGACAGATTAGATCTCAACAGAGCGTTCACAATTCTCACTTTGAAATGAATTTTCTGACAGCTACATAAGGACATATGAATGTGTTAACCCTGCATAGAAATTATAAAATACTCAGAAGAATTGTTGACATGATGAAATAGCATCCATGAATGGAAGGTTATGAAGTACTTTTCAACCTCATGATCACTCGAAGTCTGTTTTTGGCATAGGAATTTTCCCTTTAATGGTATACCACCAGTTGGTATTAAATTCCTAGGTTCATGGACTTCAGCAATAAATTTAGTCTAATCCACTCATTTGAAAGATGAGGAAACTGAGGCCCAGAAAGGGAAATGAAAGCACATGGTGGAGGTGGGATTCAAACTCAGGACCTTGGGCTTTTAAACCAATATTCTCTCTAAGGAACCACATTGCTATAAATTCTTATCCCAACTCTTTGGTCCTTGAGTCTAAAATCTCCAAAAGGATGTGAGTATCATTTCAACACTTTGTTGATGTGTTTGATTTTTTTAAAATATTGATTTAAGGCACTTAAATTTTACCAAATCATAAAATTTTCAGAAGCAGAAATTAATCAATAGTCAATTAGAAGCATTATTGAGGATTTATTATGTGCCAAGCCTTATGCTAGGCACCACCAATATAAATGCAAAATTGAAACAGCCTCTGTCCTCAAGAAGCTTACCCTCTGGCCAAAAGGAGACAACATGTACATATGTAAGTTTATACAAGATTGATAAAAGATCTTTTTTTAGGTGAAGGCATCAGTAACTGGGAGCATTGGAAAGGCCTTCCTGTAGAAGGTAAAAATTCTACTGAGTCTTGAAGGAAACTGTGGATTCTTAGAGGTGGTAAAAGCCTTCAGGGGGGCATTTAGTTCAATCTTCTCTGAACAGGAAATCTCTTCTCCAACATTCTCAATAAATTGATTCCCCAGCCTTCACTGGAAGAGCTAGGGGGTGGCATTCACACATTTTCTCCTAAGGCTTACCTTTCCATTTCGGTATTTCTCTGGTAGGAAAATTTCCCTCAGACCAAATCAAAAGCTTCCTTTGTCACTTCCACCTGGAATGTTCCTGAATATTCCTTCTGGGTTCAAGGGGGACAAGTCCCATCTCCTTTTTACAGGGAAGTTCCTTAAATAGTTAAAACAGCTATGACTGTCATCCCCATGTCTTCTCTGCAGAAGAACCTCCAAAACAAATGAGTTATTCCAATGGCCAAAAGTGAATCTGGGGACCCTACAAAATGTCAGAACAGCCCTGCTAGTCTTTGTTATTTAAAACTAACTGCCAGCATTTAAAGTCATTATTCATTGGTAGAGGTTTGTAGGCAAATACCAAATTGTGTGGGCATTAAAGGTCTCTTAGGGCATTCTGTAAATTCTTACATGTGTTTGGTAGAAATGCAGATTGAGGAAAGTCAGCAACAGTTTCCTTTACCTTTGTGTAGAAACCTGAACTGTGCCTTTTATACAGCTCTACTTATGCATCCTGTTTGCTTTCCTTGCCTCAAGTCTCTCCCCATTTCATACATCCTCGGGACAGCTAATATCATGATTTGACTCAAGTACAGGG